TAAATCCTCTGAGCCCTAAGTCTTAAACCCTACCGCATCCTCACATCCTAGAACCTCACCTACATGATGAATCCATCCCCGAGCATCCTAAAGCCTTAAATCCCAAATCCGAAAGCATCCTAAAACCCCAACATCTAAGCCCTGAGCCCCAAACCGCCCAGGAAAGTGGTGGAAGAGAAGTCGTTGGGGCTCGTCCTCGGTGTCACCTGGCCTTTTGTATGAGGAGCCGTAGGTTCCTTTGGGACTATGCGTAGGGTATATGGTTTGGAGTTTGGATTTAGGGTTTAGAGGTGGGGTTTAGGGTTCAGAGGTTGGGTTTAGGGTTTAGGGTTTGGGGTTTGGGTTTGGGGTTGGGGGTCTGTATGTTTGCATGTACGTCTGTGCGTGCTGTCCCAGACTGGAGAAGTCTATGCAACGTTCTCAGAGATGCAGAGCTCAACGAAATCGACTAATTGAGAACTTTGCAGACCGCCGTCGGATAGCATCCTAAACCCGAAACCCGAAACCTTAAACCCTAAACCTTGAAGCCTAAACCTCAAACACTAAACCCTAAACCCTAACCCCTAAACCCTAAACCAGATGGCCCACAGATGTCTCCAGGCCGGGGGTGTTCCCCCCTCCGCGGGCGAGTGGGATGCGGCGCTCTCGGAGGCTCTTGGGAGGCTCCCAGAGTTTCGAAAGGCGGCCGAAGCGAAGGGGCACTTGGAAACCTTTCTTTATTTTCTTTGGTGACTATGATCCCTAAGTTTAAGGTACTTGAAAGCCATTTTTGATTTTTTTTGGTTACTATGATCCCTAAGTTTAAGATACTTGGGAACCATTTTTAATTTTTTTGGTTGCTATGATCCCTAGGGTACTTGGAGACCATGTTTATTGTTTGGGTACTATAATCCCGAAGATACAACTAGAAATCCTACGGTTGATGATACAATTCCTGCATTACCTTAAGGACCCTAAACTATGGGAATTATGGTAGATTCCTTACTATGGGTAATGCAGGATTTATATCACCAGCCGTAGTTTTCGAGTTCAGTACCAAGTCCCTACACCCTAAACCCTAAATCCTCGACCCTCAACCCTCAACCC